GAGTAAAATAATCTTTCAGCAGCACTTTTATTTCTAATCTTTCTCAGGTCTTTACTAATTAATCCTCTAAAAAGCACCAGGTCTGTGTTCTGTTGCTATGCTGTAGACAGTTCTTCCTCCTTTAGATATAAAAACATCATCATGTGTTAACTAAACCTGTTTTAGAGCAGGAACCTCAGCTGCCTGTTGGCATGGTAACACATCTTTGCACGAGTTCATGATCAAACATCCGTTTGTCGAGTTTGATGTTGAGTTATTTATTTTTATAATTATTAAACCCCTATCTTACCCTAGGACTGATGAGCTAACGGCTAGTCAGAGCGCTGTTGCCATCTTAATTCTAGAAAGTACCTTACAGTGATGTTACTTTATAAAACCTTTCCTAGATTTGTCTGTTTCACGTTGCAGGATTGTTTCAGCAGAAATATTAAGAGATACCAGAAGTTGTAGATGCTTGTAAACAACCAGGAAGCTCCATCAAAATAAGTGCGTGACATGAAGCTGATGCTTTAAAGGTGTTTACAGTAGTATGAACTGCTGTGAGAGCAGGTGTTTGGACATGAGTCAGGAGGCAGACTCTTGGCTGCTCTGCACTCATCCTGAAGGGCACACGCTGCACGGATCGTCTCCAGAACTCCATCCACCAAACTCATCACTCCCTTCTGCACTGGCCTCTGGTGAACTTTTGCATCAACTTTAAAACCCTTCCCACATTCACGCCCCAGAGAAGTGCTCTGTAGCGCCTTTCGGACGTCTTTTCTCAGAAAGTTAAACAACATGACAGAAGTAGTTGCCCGACCTGGCGGCAGGTGGACTTGTGAGGAAAGGTTCATGCACCTTTCAGGATGCTGGGATGTAAATGGCTTCTTCTGAAGGCTTTCTTACACTTCTAAACATCTGAATGACTTTACAAACAGGTAAACATCAGAGACCTGAGTCATCTCAGACTTCTGCCTGTGACTGCGTAAACTCAAGATCAGTCAGAACACCTGACACATCAGACTGGATCAGAACATCCGTCCTGCTAACGGCTGTAATTATGCTGTCTGATTTGACCCTGCAGGAAAAGGTTACTAAGGTCAAAACCCTACCCTCCCACCCCCTCTAAGTCATGTATTTGTTTTTGTTTCACTGTAATATAAATGAAGGTTCTCTCTGTTTATTCCCCTGCAATCATTGGGGGGATTTATTCAGTTAATGTCAGCATTTTTACACAAATGTATTTAAATGTCCCAGAGCGAGGATACAGCGTCCAGCTGCTGCATCAACCTGGAACGACACCCCCCACCCCTCCTCCTGTCCCAAACAGAAACTGGAGTTTTGATGGGTAGTTCTGCTTCGTTACTTTGCTTCTAGTTCTCTTTTGTTCCTGTTTGTGTTTTAATGTTACTGTGATTCTCCGTGTGAAATTGTTTGTGTTCGTGGTGTCACCAGAGCTCCTAGAGAAACAAAACATCTTTTATCAAAGCAGGAAAATAACTAGAACAGATCCATCCGTGACCTGTCGTAAATTTCTGCTATCGGATGTGTTATTAGATATTAGAACATATGAGTGTTTTCATGTAAGGGGTCGATGCTGAAGCAATAAAGCACCTTTCAGTTGATGATGGTTTCTGTTCTCACTCCACAAAAGCGATTATCTATCTATCAAACATTTCTTCTGCTGAATCCTGTTCTCTGCATTTTGGTTTCTACGGCATATTTCCAAACCAACGATGATAAATTCCCTGTAAACAACAATACAATTTCGTCAAGATTAGGGAGGAAGCCCCGCCTCCTGTGTGGCGCTATACCTCAAGTACACTCCACAGTAGAAGCATCCTTCATGAACAGGTTTTCCCCTCAGAGTCCACAGACTCTGCAGTTCCACTTCCAACAAGTTCCTTCCCATCAATCAAACCAAAGTAGAAACATAAACATTCCCCAGTGGGTCCATCACACCTTCTACTGTTTTAGTTTTCACCCAGCAGCTGTTTGTCTGAGGCCTCTTGTCAGGTGGTGGTTGTGGTTGTGAGGGGGTGGTTGGTTACCAAGGTGACCCTGGTCTTATGCCAGAAGGTACCACAGTTAAATTAGCCAATGGCAGTTAACATCCTGAGCCTTGGTTACGTGCTAGAGGGTACCATGGTAACTAATGAGCCAATGGCGGTTACCACGGTGACTCTAATGGGTCATATGTGGTTACCATGATGACCCTGGTGAGACAGGTGGCTGTTTATCATGGTGACTCCTTATGAGATGCTGGTGGTTACCATGGTGACCTTCATATGAACCACTGGCAGCAGCATTAACACTTCTTTCCATCTTGGTTGACGTTACACATCTTTTATAAGAGTCGGCACCAGCTCAAAGTTGGAGTTTTAGACAGCAGCTGCTCCGGCACGCTACACACTAGTTTGACCCCGTTATTACAGCTTTGAGTCTATTTTAAAGTGTTTAATAATTATCATGATGTTGATAATGAGCTGAGGAAACATTTCTTGCGGTTGTGTCTGTTCAGGCGACAGGCCTCCAGCTGATAGAACGGTGGTGATCGAAGAGTATCGGCTGCTGTCTCAGAAGCTGTTTGCAGCCGTGTCCGTGTTCGCCGGCCTCGGCATCCTGCTCGGCATCGTCTGTCTGACCTTCAACATCTACAACGGCAATGTGCGGTGAGTCAACACACACTGAGAAGGGTCAAGTTGTTTCGTTCATGGGTTCACCCCCATTAACCTTAATGAACCTTCATAGACGTTATCTCTGCTGCTTGGGCCCCGGTTTGTTCCGAGGTTCTAGCAAGAACGTTTACAGGTGTTTTTTATGGATTTTCTTCTGTGCAGTCATTCATCAGTCAGAACAAAACAAGCTTTAAGCCTCAGTTGCTTTGAGAAGATTTAGAGCTAGACTTTAAACCTGGGGTGTTCAAAGGGTGGCCCGCCGGCCATTTGTGATCCATAATCGTGCACCTAAGTCAGAGGTCACCAACCTATGGCTGTGGAGCCACAAGTGGGCTTTGTACTAATTCAAATGGCTCCTAATGACTTTAGCAAATAACAATTAACTCTTGTTTTTAAATATAATCAAAAATATATGGAAATGCAGGTTTAAGCTTTTCAGTTTTTTATGAAATAATTTTATGTAATTAAAAATAGGGACATCAAAAAAGTCAGAATTCTGACATTATTCTCGGAAATCTGAGGAAAAAAAATCCTGTGAATTGATCTTAAACATTATACATTTTCAATTTGCAAAAAGTCCTGTAACAGTTGAGGCTCCAAACACGTTTTATTTTGGTGAACTGAGGAGAAAAACTAGCCTAGAGATCTAGACAGACAGCCACAGAAGCAAAATGATTTAGCTCTGAATGTCAGTTTAGTCTCGCTCCATACAAGTCTCAGCAGCCCAGACCAGTAACATACGCCAGACATGCAGTTGCTGTATGTTTGGTGGGCGGGATGTTACTGCGACTGAGCAAAACTAACGGCTCGTTTGAAATGGCATTGCTATTAACTTTGAACTATTTAGACTTTGGCTTTTCTTTGAGTCAATAGCAGATAGACATACTTAAGTTTATTTAGACATAGGATGTATCTTCTTCAACAGTAGCCTATATAGCAGACTGCCTTGTTAACTGACATCCGTAGCTGTGAGAACGTCACGTTGTTTTTTGTCCAATAGCATGCAGAGAGTGTTTGAAAGACAACTATACATCCCGTCTCACGACTGAGCTCTGTCTATGGTTCGTGGCCAGAATATATACTCACATATATAAGATGGCTTGCCAAGCTAGAGAAAAATAGATAACCTATAGATAGTAGGGATCAGAGACTCCTGTACTTGGTTGTTGATTGACCAATTGAGATTTCTACTGTTGCCAGTACAAAAAATGTTACTCCAATGGAAAAGTTTAAGTAAAATTCTTATTTTTATTAACTAGATTTATGGTTGTTTTATGTTTGTTTGTTGATTTTTTTTTCTTTTTGGCGTTTCTTAGTTGTTATTAATTGAGGTTGAAGGTTTGACTGAAGCTCAGAGTTTTCAGATGTTCTGATATAGAAACACGTTTTATTTCATTCTAATGTAAGTATCAGCTATAGGAGTTGGCATGAACTTTAACCTTTGACCTTTTAGCTGACACAAGTAAAGTCCGAGATGGCGTTTTGCGGTTAACCTCTGACCTCGGGGTGAACCTGTTGAGGAGAATCTCTCTGTAAAATAAATGACTCAAGGTCAGTTGACCTTTGACCTTTCCTCAAACTGAAGGGCAACCCCTGTTGCTTTTCTCAGGACTTTGCTCCTTGTGTTAACACATGCCTGTACCCTCTGGAGCTCAGGCTGCCGATGACCAGTTTTCCCATCCATGTAAACGATGTCTCCAGCTGTTCCAGATTTGCTGTTGGTGTGCAGCATTCACACTCCAGGTTTAGGAGTGTTTTTAGTGGATGTGAGACAGGACAGAAATAACGAGTTGTGTTTGAGGGCCTCTGCTTAAATCTGAGCCTAAAACCAAATGCAAATACAAAAAAAAAGTCTTCTGAACTTGGATTTCTGAGCTTAACCCACATCAACGAAGCCGTGGTTAGCAGAGCAGATCTGTGAGGTCCTTTTAAGGTGGTATTTTTATGTTTGACGGGGTGAAAAGTCCCTGAAGTCCTGGAGCGTATCAGACTGTTTCGAAGAGTTTGGTTCCTCCGGGGATCTCTGGCCGGCGCCAGCGTGCTCATCAGTCCCGCTTCCTGCTTTGATTACATTTCACTTTCACCCAAACGGCTAGCTGCCAAAACACAATGAGTCACATCAAACCAAATGTATTCACTAAGCTGATTCTACAAGCAACACTGGCGTGTTGGAGGCTAAAAATATAGGATCGATCAGCTTCAGGAGCTGGAAAACAGCCTAATGTTTGATCTTCTGACCTTCCAGTGATGTCACACATCCAGTTCAGCTCGCCAAAGAAAACAGATGCTTTCCCTTGGTTCTGGTCTGGTTCCTGCTGTCAGCTGAGCGGTGAGGTTAAATCTGAATCAGCTGACTGTGTCCGACAGCGACAGCTTCACCCTGCTGTCATGTCCTCTGGAGCCTCACAGTTAGAACATATTTGAATATAGTCAGCATTACGCCTAAAAGGTGCTGAGTCTGATTTTAGATTCTAAATAATAATAATAATAATAATAATAATAATAATAATAAATGTTTTTCAGGTATTTATTTCCCAACTTCAATAAGATTCTAGTTCAATCTAAATGTTTACCCAAAGGGTCAAAACCGTTGATTAAAATATTCAATCTATCTTTATTTATAAACCATTTTAAAACAGGCACACAAGATCAAGGAGTTGCATAGAAAACAAGTTTAGAATAACAATTAAAATATATTAATGCATTATTTACATGAAATAAATGAGATCTAAAATCAAAAGCAAGTGTATAAAATGAATATCGACCAAAGTCTAAGTGCCAGAGAGAAGAAAATTAAATAAAATACTGAACCAGTTGTTGATCTAATCAGGGATTATCTCACCTGGAATTCACTAAAACAAAGGTTATTTTAGAGGCATAAAAGGTTGGATTAAGGTCAGTGTTCATCAGCAAATGTGTTTGTAAGATTATGTGTGATTGTGTTTAGCTGCAGAGTGAATAAACAGAAGCTTCCAGGCAACAGTAAGGAAGGGAAGGTCAACAGGAAGCAATAATAAAAACATCAAATACATAAAGATGGATGGATGGATGGATGGATGTATAACAGTAGGGAGGATTAAATTATTATGGATGGATGGATGAATGGATAGATAGATCGGTGGATGGATGGATGGATGGATGGATGGGTGGGTGAGTGGGTGGATAGATAGATAGATAGGTGGATGATGGATGGATGGGTGGATAGATGGATGGGTGGATAGATCGGTGGATGGATGGATGGATGGATGGATGGATGGATGGATGGATGGATGGGTGGGTGGGTGGGTGGATAGATAGGTGGATGATGGATGGATGGATGGGTGGGTGGGTGGATGGATGGGTGGATGGATGGGTGGATGATGGATGGATGGGTGGTTGGGTGGGTGGATGGGTGGATGGATGGGTGGATAGATAGGTGGATGATGGATGAATGGGTGGGTGGGTGGATGGGTGGATGGATGGGTGGATAGATAGGTGGATGATGGATGGATGGGTGGATAGATAGGTGGATGATGGATGGATGGGTGGGTGGGTGGATGGGTGGATAGATAGGTGGATGATGGATGAATGGGTGGGTGGATCATCCAGCATAAATCAGAACTTTGAATATTAAATGTAAAATGAGAAACATTCGGGTAAAACCTCACTAGACCTGATGCCGAAAACAGAACCACAAGTATTAGAGAATCTCAAGATTTTTTTACTTTTCTGAATGTTGTAATATGTTATAAGATAGAATTAATTTGTGTTATATGATTGGTAGAAACATTTATGAATCTGCCCGTGTCAGAGTTTCTGTGAAGATGTGGGTTCATTCTGTTTTTCAGAAAGTAGAAACTGAAGGGTTTGTGCCTTTGGAACGGAACAAGTCAGCTTTTTTTGTCAGTGAAAGCTGAGATCGTCCCGTCGCTCAGACAACGACACGCCGCCTTCTGTCGACACTAATTAGACTCGTTCATGAAAATCACACTTCAGAGGAGATGCCCCGGAGAGCTTCCACATTTGGACCTTTCCTCAGTGTGACAGGAGACAACCAGACCATCAGAACCAGCAAATTAAAAACAACTTTAGAACAATTCATTCTAACTGATGTCATTTCTGGGAACTCTGCAGATGGCTGAATTAACACTTGTTTACGCCGTAAGCACTAACAACTTTCTCTGCCTTGTACACGTGATTCTGCAGCTACATCCAGAACTCGCAGCCATACCTGAACAACATGACAGCAGTGGGATGCATGATGGCACTGGCCGCCGTGTTCCCGTTGGGAATTGACCGGCACCATGTCGACCGGCCGCAGTTTCCTGTTGTTTGTCAGGTGAGGAAAAGGTGGGGGGTGTCGTGAGAGGGAGTCAGAGGGAATAACGTCCACAACGGTCCTCACTAGTTACTCTTACCGGCCTAAAAAAAAGTCCCCATCAACAAAAAGGTCACACTAATATTTTGTTGGACCGCTTTTAACTTTGGTTACGGCACACATTCGCCATGGCATTGTTCAGATAAGCTTCTGCAATGTCACCAGATTTCTTTCCATCCAGTGTTGCATTAATGCTTCACCAAGAACTTGCACGTTGATGGTAGAGTCTGACTGCTGCACAAAACCTTGTCCAGCACATCCCAAAGATTCTCAATGGGGCTAAAGTCTGGACTCTGTGGTGTCCAATCCGTGGGTGAAAATGATGTCTCATGCTCCCTGAACCACTCTTTCACCATTTGAGCACAGTGAATCCTGGCATTGTCATCTTGGAATACGCCCGTGCCATCAGGGGAAATGGAATAACCTGGTCATTCAGTATATTCAGGTAATCAGCTGACCTCGTTCTTGGAGCACACCCTGTTGCTGAACCTAGACCTGACCAACTGCAGCAACCCCAGATCATAGCCCTGCCCCCACAGTCTTGTACAGTAGGCACTTGGCATGATGGGTGCATCACTTCGTCTGCCTCTCTTCTTACCCTGATGCAGTAGGGCGGGGTAATAAATCGAAATGTATCGTTATCAAAATTTCTGACTTTTGTTGAGATAATTGTTCTCATGATGTGTGTAGGTTGGTAACATTTATGTCCCCTTAAGAAGCTGTACCACCTTGAGTCACGTAAAAATGTGACTTAAGGTAATACATGTGACAGCGCCATCTAGTGGACAACATTTGTTTCTGCGCATTCGTGTACTTATCGTCCATTTATCGTTATCAAGGTGAAATCCTCAATATATCGTGATATTGATTTTAGGCCATATCGCCCAGCCCTATGATGCAGCATCACTCTGGAACAGAGACCATCTGGACTCATCAGACCAGTTTTAATAGTGCGTTGGACAGTTCTTAGCCCAGTTTTGATCGTTTCTGCCATCTCCTTAGATGTTTTCTCTGCTTGAAACATGCCAATGATCTGACCCTTCTCAAACAGACTAACATTTTTTTCCACACCCACCAGACGTGTCTTTCCACATGATTGTTTAAGAAATGAGAAGCAACTCATTGCACCAGTTGGGGATAAGTAACTTGTTGCCAGCTCCAGTAATTATCCAATAACAGGCGCGTGCCAGTTGGCTTAGTTAAATCCAGGTGGTGATTTTATCTTTGGCCTCGCAGTTAATTATACATCTCTTTATGTTTTGACTTTCCAGTTGTTCCATACTTGGGCAGAAGAGACTTGTGAGATAGTTCTATTTAAGCGATTGGCCTGATTTGTTATAATCAATAAAAGAATCAATAAACCCACCAACCAACTGACCAACACTGACCACCAACAAATCAGGTATACAATCAATAATTAACATAAAATCAAAACAGATTAATAAATCAACCAATTAGATTTGGATGTAAAAGAGGAATGGTCTTTATGAGTCGAGCTCTGTTCCTCTTCCTGGTGTTGGAATAAACCTTCTTTTTCCATAAGTGGGCTGTGGTTCTGTTCTTCTGTAACTGGAGATGTTTGTGTGAAAACTGAAAGACCAGACAACCGGTAAGCGTTTTCATCGATGCACCGATACCAGCCAACAGATGGAGGAGGTTTCTGCTTTAGAGCTGGATGTTAGCGATGCGTTTGGATGTGTTGGATGTTCTGATGCACCCTCATTCCTGTTCAGCTCAGAGTGCATCTGCTCTGTTTCTCTGGGATCGTTGTTTCTGGTCGTCTCAGAGCTGATGAAGCACAGCTTCGTCTGCTCGGATCAGTCGGCCGCAGCTCGCTGCAGCACAAGTGCATCTGCGTCCGGGTGTCATGGGGGTAAAAACAAAGTGACGTCAACCGAAGCGGACACATGTGCACTGAGAAAAGGAAGCATCTCTTCGTGTTACATTAGAGGCTCTGAAAGATGGTTCCTCCAGTCCAAATGAGTGTTAATCCAGCGCAGCCGTCTCTGTGTGCTCATTTACATAATCAGCTCTGTGGTGTTTTCATTTGATTCAGAAAAAGTTTCCCGACGTTATCTCCACCTCGCTGGAGGAGCAAGGCAGTTCATTTTAGCCCTAAAGGGACAGTCTGAGAGTTAATTAGCATATTTCCATACTTGTGAGTGCTGAACACTTTTCTTTTTGGTAGAATCAAACGTTTTCTTCTTGTGACTGAAGAGAATCAGATATTTAATTGTTGCTTTGGTTCCTTGATCAACAGCCCTTTACTTTCATGAACATCAAACACGTCTCCACATCCCTGCATCCTGGGGCAGAGAGGTCCAAGCTGTCCTCTTCCCAGTCTTCTGTAACCCTAATCCAGCCTGGACATAATCATTGAGTGTCCTGGGTCATCCATAGGGACCTTTTAAAGAACGCGCCTAAAACATCTCCCCCAGAGAAGAGCGTCGTCATCCGATGGGAGCTAGTTGTCGAGCTACTTCTCTTCCTCAATGCAGTGAGTCAGCTGAGGATGTCGGATGCATCTTGGTCACTTTCCCTTTGGAGGTCTGGTCTGCTGGAGAGGACACAAGAGGGAATAGATGTCCTCTCTAGTCTGGGAACACGTCAGAATCCTCAGGAACAGCAGGACAGCAGGATGTCTAGGTTGGACAGGTCTAATCAACACATTAAAGGAATTGATTTTTCCTATACGATGATTATTCCATTTGAATAGGAAGGTCGTGTTGGGTTTATGGCCCTGGTAATGATGATTATTTCAGGGGTTTAGAGGATGACTGACAGCATTAGATATTTTATCTCCCCTCAGCCTTTCATTGAAGCTGGATGTTTATTCATAAATGTTGAACGTCTTTAGCACCGGTGACATAGTTTTTTGAAATGGGTTGCTTCAGAATAGGGTCTTCTGTTGGTTAAAATTGATTCTGAGCAGATGTTCTTCCTGCTGCTGGCGTTTTAGGTTTTCATCGTACCAAACACAGCAGAAGTTTGTTCTCTGATACAACCTGTTCAGTATTTTGGGACTCGGCTTTGCAACTGTGACTTCCCGACTCCTAATGAGGAGTGGGAGTAAGTCTGTGTCAGCCATGTTGAGCCTTTGTGTTACAGAGACGAGGAGGAAAATTTCCATTTCTGTGGTTCCTCAGCTCTTTGTCCCTGTCCAGATACTTCCTCTCTCGCTTTCCTCTGCCATTTCACCTTCTGCACTCGTTCACTTCATCATCTCAAATCCATCTCCCTGCTTCAGTCCTTCATCCCTTCCTTCTGCCTACAATAGCCCCGTCCCCTTCTCTAAGCCACTTGTTTTAAATTGTATTATCTGCACAGCTGGATCCTCAGATTTCTGGTCCTTCTCCAACTTAAAGACTCAACCAGAACCTCTAACACCTTTAACACCTGATCCTATGACTCACATGTTCCTGCACCTGCTCCACTGCCGGGTGCTGACGCTCCTCCTCACCTGGAGGTGGTTTTGGATCAAAGCTTTGGCAGCTAAATAACTGCCTCAAAATATAAATTCACTCATTTAACAGATACAGTATTTATTCAAGGTTCATAAATGTTACCAGTGTGTCAGCCAGCTTCATTTGGGGGAATAGAAATTAGCCAGAAAGAACTCATATGAGCAGGAGCTCCTTCCAGATGAAGCTGTGTGTGTGTGTGTGTGTGTGTGTGTGTGTGTGTGTGTGTGTGTGTGTGTGTGTGTGTGTGTGTGTGTGTGTGTGTGTATGTGTTTTATGCTCCACTAATAAAGCAGTTTTAAAATGAAATCCTTTTCCTTGCCTGTCTTTGCCTCCTCTGCAGTTCCGCCTGTGGCTCCTCGGCCTCGGCTTCAGCGTTGCTTACGGCAGCATGTTCACCAAGATCTGGTGGGTCCACACCCTCTTCACCAAGAAAGATGAGAAGAAGGAGAGGAAGAAGGTAGGCAAATGTGGAAGGAAGGAAGAAAGGACCAAAGGAAGGAAAGAAGACATTATAGTGTCCTGAAACTGATAGGATCAGAGCTGAGCTGAGGGCATCTTTTTAGCTGGAGGCTGTGGTCCGGATGGAGCTGACCAATCATAAACCATCTTATAACAGACTGAGGTGATCAGTAACACGACCAGAAAAATAAATCATGTGTTTAATGGAACATTGGATGGATGTGTGCTGACAAAATTGAGGTCTTTGAATATTTGCCTTGGAAGTCCAATTGTCCCAAATTGTTAGCCTGGCCAATTTACTGCCAATGGAATGTACAATCCCAGGTGTTAGCATGTTAGCTGTTAGCATCATGGTGCTAATTTCCTGTTCAAGATTTCCGTTTGTGTGATGTCATCTTAGAAATGCTAGGTGGTGTTTCTTGCTGGTCGACTATTATTATAAAATATTATGATTTAAACTTTGTGGTTAATTTGATTAGCTTTTTCATTGCGGTTTCTACATGCTAACTTTTTAGCATCATGTTGCGGACATTTTACTCTAATGGGTTAGCTTCTCGCCTGAGAATACTAATTATTAGTTCTTGTATGCTAACTGTTAGCCTCCATGTACTAATTTCTGATTGAATGATAATCCTGTGTGTTATTGGTCTGGATCTGCTAGTTTTATACATAACTACTATCATCCCTGAGATGTTGAGGCATTGCCAGAAGAGGCCTGGGGTGATAATTGTTAGCTTTGCTCTGCTACATGACTTTTCACCCAGATCAAGTTTCGAGGCTGCCTGATTATCAGTGGCCGGCTTGAGCTGGAAAATAGCCTCCAGATAGCTGCATGTATCCTCTGCCGATGGCTCAGTCGTCTTGATACTTCGACCCATTTTCTGCACCACAGAGAGAAAAGCCTCCCAGTAGAAGCTCAAGGCAGGAGAAGAGAGTGTTTCACTCAGCATGTGAAGCATCAGCTGATAAAAAGCTCTGATAAAACTTTGTAGGACTTCTAGAAACTAAATCTCAGGAGAAGTGGTGACACAAAAACTACACACACATGCCACTTTCATGTTTGTGAGAACGGATTACCAGCTCCCACGTCATCAGATCTGTTCTGGGTGTGCTCAAAGACACTGTATCCTGAAGCAAGTGAGGTGGTGTCAGTCTGAGATGTGTTGTGGGAATTCTGAGACCCGATCAGAAGAATAAGAGATTAAACCATTTATGGAATATTTATGAATATGGATGAGTATTAAAGCTCTATGCAGAAATCCAGCCTTCGGGGGGTTATTATTGGAGCTAAAGCGCATCGAATTGAGTTTACTTTCAGCTCTCCTTGTGTCCACAAAAGGACAATTTGCCAGAGAGCTTTGTGTGCACATAAAAAAACTTCCACAAATCAAGGGGAGAATTGCCGCTTCTCCATGCAGCTGTAGGACGGCAAAATATGTTTCCTCCTGGAGTTTATAGTTGCTGCACGCTTGAATGCCTGTGAGTAAACCAGCGAGGGAGAATTAAAGGAAGGAAAGGGTGTTTTGGGGGGTGGTGGTGTGTGTGTGTGTGTGTGTGGGGGGG